CAGTTTAAGTTCTGGCGATCATTGCAGTGTTGCCAGATATTGCTATGAAAACAAATAAAAACCGAAAAATAAACAATAGCCAAAATAAACCGAAATGAGTTCAAATCAGTAAAGACATTGCCAACCCTAAACTGCAACTTCCCGCTCTATTAACTTTCTAAAGTGTCAAATTAAGTAGTTAATTTGCGCACTCACTCAAGTCTCAAGCCTCGTTCACTCTGCCAGCGTCTCGCAGAGCTCATTTTCATATCACGGGCGCTAAACAGCAAACTGTCTAAACTTAATTATACATGTAGACAATCATTTGACGAGCTTTAAACAGCAGATTAGTCATTTAGAGAGCAGATTTTATTTTTGAACATTAAAAATGTACAGAGGTCCGGACCTCATAGCTGGCTACGGGCATGCATATGTTATATAAACTTGAAGCATCAAAATCGGCATCGGTATCGGCCAATCACCATGACAAGAAATCGGTACTCGGTATCGGCTGCAAAAATCCTGATCGGAGCATCCCTAATATAAAGCTTTTAAAATGACTAAACTGTTTTCTTTTGAACTCTGTCTGATTAAATTCAGTTGACTCATTTGCATAGTCGGATATTTTCTTTCTGCTGCCCTGTCAAACATTTGCTGCAGCAACAGTGTTTATTCCTGCCTTGTACATGCATTTAAATTCACTATATTTTTAATAACGACATCTCTTAATCTTCAGCAGAGAAGTGAATCAAACTGTTCCCAGTGATTGGCTGTTTGCCACACATCACACTTTCAGGAGTTAATCACAAACTCTGGATCAAACTCTAGGCACGTTCAAACAGCAGCAGAATACGGTTGTCAGTCCTGTATTTGATTCCTTAATACGGTTACGTTCACACAGTTCGGTTATTTATGGGTGTGACAACCGCATTATGTAACCGAACTCACACCTGTAAATTTTCAGGACTCACAACCGCATTCTCGGAACACACGCGCTGTGTGAACAGAACAGGACTGGACAACCAGTTGTCTGTCATGTCATACAGTGCGAGAGGGAGCCGCTCTGCCGCACAAACGCGTGTCTAACGTGTGTTACGTGTTTTTTTTGTATGTGTGTTTTCGGTAACTTACAGTGACGATGGAGAAATGAGCTGCGTGTCTGTCACCTGAAATTTTTAGATCCTGTCATTTTTCCACCGGAGCCACTCCCGTCAGTTTTGTGTTCTGCGCGTGACTCAAACTCCGCTCTCCACCCAAATTTAAAGGCTGCTGTCGGTTAATGAAGATTTGACGGATGAACTCGCAGCTCGATTGGACTCTTGTCGTGTCAGAAAGTGATAAGACTTTCAGTTTTATGGATGTTCGCCATCTTTGATTTTACTTTGGTCACTGTCGCTATGCTTACTGGTAAGAAATACGGGCTTGACTCCCGTTGCACATTCATACAGACAGTATTCTAAACACAACTGTAAGCTGCTGTGTGAACGGGACATTTCGAGACTCACACCTGTAAAGAAAATGCGGGTTGTAAATCCCAAAAATTGACAGTGTGAACGTAGCATGTTAACGGAGAACATTTATATTGAGATTTGTGAGCCTGGCTGAACCTGATCTGTTGGATTTGTTTGGTTTTGTGAACTCTAAATTTACTCTGAAACTCAGAGTTTAGCTTCAGAACTAGCTTCATGCAGCAGGCCACAGGTGTCAGAAAACAGGCAAAATCTGTTGTGCAGCTTGCGTTGTTTCCATGGTTAGTTAATGAAAAAAAAAATACCAGCAGCTGCTCAGAACTGAATTTAACAAAAGGCAAAAAAAATAAAAAAACCTAACCAGAATGTCTTCTATTTGATTGATCTGTCAACAGTGATGTTTTGAGCTGAAGTACTTCTTAAATTGACACATGCCTAGGGTGTGGCCTCAGAAATTTTTTGGGGAAAAAAAAGTTTGAAACCATGGCATCTGTTTTAATGAGACACTGCCTCACTGTTTCAGTCTCCTCATACAGATACACAGCTGATTGGCTGTGGGATCCGGTGGCTTGATTTGAATCCCTAATGGTTGAGGGTAGGGCTGTGCGATTTGGGGGGAAATATCAAATTGTGATTTTTTTTGACAGAGATTGCGATTTGATTTGCGATTTTAAATTTGCAAAGTCAAGCTTCAGCTCAATATTGTCAATAATGTGCAGCACAGTATGGGTATCATTACCCTGCTGAAAAAAACAATAGAAACCATCACAGAAATTCTTATAGTTTCCATTAAACCATTACAAAATTCCTTTTTGTTTTGGGCATTATTCCAATAGGAATTACTGTTGTTCTATTGTTTGCCATCTGCCAGATTACATCCCTCCAATAGAATCCATCAAATACTAGTAGACACCATTATTGTTTACATTAAAACCAATACAATTCCCATTATAACCCTGAAATCCATAAAATTTTTTATTGTGTTTTGGGAGGGGGTTCTATTGTTGTTGTTTTTTTCAGCAGGCAAGATTATAATGGTATAACTACTTTTACAGAATTAACTTAATTACTGAATTTCACAGAAAATATTTGTTTATTATATAAAGAACTGTATTTCTTAAGTCAATTATTAAAGTACTACATATGTTACATAGGCTGATTTATTAATTTTAAGTATTTGGGATTTTAAGAACAAGTGGAAAATGTGCTGAATGTTTCATTTCATCCAAGTGAAATTAGCAAGCAGTTAGACTGAATTTACATTCGTTTTAAACACAGAGCCAGGCGCGAGTCGAGACAAGTTGCGCGCGTGCGTCAAGCCTCGTCCATACTGCCAGATGCGCTTGTGGAGACTTGCGGAGCCGGGTGCGAGTATAAACCAGCATTACGAGACAGGCTGCGTGAGTGCGGCAAGCGTGAACGGCTCGTCCGTGACGAGGGATTCGCGCCGCGTGGGGCAGAGAGGAGCGAGTATGAGAAGCATTCACAGACACAGGCTGTGTGTGCGCTCTTCTGAATTGGGAATAGCCAACATGCATTATAAACTTATTTCAAATTAATCTGTTGGGGAGATAAAATGTAAGATAACGTTCACGTACTAACAAAAACATCTAAGAATGTATCTTTTATTCTTATGCTCTGGAACAGAGTAATATCGCGTCCACATCGCAGGCTTTCTCAAATCGCAAATCGCGATTTCGATTAATCGCACAGCCCTAGTTGAGGGTTCAGACATCATTTGCTCTGGCATTCTGGGCACGTTTAATAGAACCGCCAGATTAACTGAAGCATTGTCAAAGCCTGACTCGGTGCACCTCGCGGTGCCGCCAGACAGCTGCTTGTTCCCTCCGAACGCGTTGCAGATGTCTTTAGTTACATGTCCCTCAGCATCAGCAATCAAGCCATAAAACCCACTTACCATAAAATTAAGATCAACCCTGACTTCCTTTGAAACATATGGGCTCTCGCTGGCTATCGATCAAGCAGACATTCAGAGCCGGAGGCTGAGCAGCCAAAACACACTATGGCAGATGCATGCAAATGAGGTCGCGGTGAAAGCAGCAGCATCATCCCTAGCTTTTGTGATAGACTTGGGGGGGAAAAGACTGTGCCAGGGGCTTTTGCTGTTCACACGGCTTCCTGTTTTCTTCATGGTGTTTGAGAACTTCAGCCACGCTTCTCACTTCATTCAATAATGAACTCTTCAGAGGATACAGAGACAGAACAGACAGATATTAGCATGCCATACTCTTGATAAATCTATGCTTATTATCTTTAAAAACATCTGTTTACATCATCTAGAAGCTCTTATGCTTCTCATCATCCAAAATTCTCATTCCTATCATGCCTTGAGCTGCAGGCTTCTCTATGGCAACTTCTGCACTTTCGCTGAGGGATTTGGTGGCGTTAGATTACCCGGCAGTTCAGCGCAGGTGAGGGATTATTGCGCGACATCTCGGGATCCTTTCACGTCTGTGAAGGTTAAATCTGAGAGCTTAATCAATAGAATCCTCATGATATCATAACTTTTCTTATTAGCCCCAGCAGCAGCAAATGTCATGATGCTCCAGAGAGCAGCACAAACTAATAAAGAGCAGATCTGAAAATACACGTCTGCGACCTTATTTTTTTCAAAGATGCATCCTCGGGAGCGAGAGTCACTGAGCGATGTGAAAATGTTTTTTGTCAACAAACATGTGCAATGGTTTTATAGATGAACCGATAAGTTATTACCTTGTTGTTATGACTGATAACTTATAAATGGCTAATAAAATAATTAACTGTTTTGTCTAACTTGTAAAGTTACTACTTGTAATGTAACTAAATATGTTTAATAGATTAAAAAAAAAACATTTTAATCTTTGTTTTAAAATGCGGTTAATCGCGATGAAACTGGGGTGGCGAAAGATCTTTTCCATATTGCAGCGAACATCCAAGTGGGGTGAATTAACAAAAAAGAAAAAAAGAACGGAAAGTTCATCAAAAGTGACTGTAACAACATTTTTTATGTTTTTGTTTCAAATAAATGCTGTTTCTATTCAGCAGAGTATCCTGAAAATATATCAAGGTTTCAACAAAAATATCAAGCAGCACAACAGTTTTCAACATTGATGATAATAAGTTTTTGTATTACAAGGATTTCTAAAAGGTCATTTAACACTGAATACTGAATTCTGAAAATTTAACTTTGACGTCACAGAAATAAATTACATTTTACAATATATTCAAATAGAAAACAGTTAATTTAAATCGTGATGATTTAATTACTGTTTTACTGTGTTTTTATCCAATTAATGTAAACTCTGTGAGCATAAGAGACTTTCAGAAACATTAAAAAACTTTTCTGACCTCAAACTTTTGGAATGTAGTGTCTGTTTGTCCATTTATGACGTTTTATTCCTTAACTATTTTCAAATGGCACTTTATCACTCTTAGTGGGCATGAATCACTTAGTATTTCCTCTTTTACACTATGACTGAAGCTTGTTTCCATACTTGCAGCTGTCTTGTTGATGTTGTTAAAGTTTATATTTTGCTCTTGTTGCACGTACAGCAGTGCCACTGCCCCCTCACCAGCGGCTGACAATAAAGGACCTATTTGTGGATGGTAAGCCAAATGCCGAGCTACTGAAGAACCATTTGATCAAAGAGGGACGTGTGGAGGAGGACGTTGCGCTGCGCATCATAAACGAGGGTGCCAACATCCTAAGGCAGGAGAAGTGCATGCTAGAGGTGGAGGCACCAATCACTGGTAAGAAAGCAAGAACATATCTTTAGTAGGGCTTGAGGGAGATGACCATCTGTCCAGATTACAATGAACTTTGTTCTGACTTTCGGTTTTGTTCTGCTGAGGTTGAACCTAGTTCCTAAGAAAAAATGTTCCTCCCCAAAAAAGGTGTTTTTCCTTATGGAAGCTTCATGCAACGTATTCACTATTACACTTCCTTGGCATCAGCGTGTGTACCTTTAGCCAACAATAAAATAATAAATCGTAAAACGATTGGTTTGGTTGATAAGTAACTATTCAAGTAGGCCCATATTCTATCTGTGAAAGCAGTTTTCATCAGGCGTACAAAATTGGCATTGCTGTTGAGTTTTTTGCAGAGATTACCTGATTTGTGTTACAAACTGTCAGAGTGGAGAATCAGCTGTGGAAAACTGACTTGTATGGGGATCCGTGTCAGTGCCTTTGGTTCATAATGACAGATACTGTCTGCAGATCAGTGGCGCGCAACACAGGAAACAGTCACAGATTCTGCCGTGGAATGTGGTCAGTGATGCTTCAGTGAACAGTTGGAGGGATGTGCAGAAACTAATCAACTAAATGAAGGGCTGCCTGAATGACAAGTCGACTATTTGCTCTAAAGGAAGACTTTTTGTCTGGTTTTGAGTGCAACTGACCGTGATTGAATGATGCTACTTTCCTGTCTACATTTAACTTTATTACATAAATCAGGGATACATGATATTTATTTTTATTTTTAATTGATCGATTGGTTTTGTATCAGACAGCCAATAGTGGATATTGCGCTTGCACATTTCACATATTTCTGAATGTATGTTACCTTTGTTGTCATCAAGTTAATCTTTAAAAATGAATAATTCATAAACACTGCTAAATATAATGTTTAGCAAATCTCAAAATTAATATCTTTTTTTCATACTGTGAATAATTTTGTAAATTTCTAAGGTCTAAATTCACTTGTAGCATTTAAAATGATTGATTTTAATTGTATTTTTTAGTTTTATATTTATATAAATTGTAATTTATCAGTCAATTTATTAGCCATAACATGTAAATAATTTCAGTATCTCCCAATAAATTTAGTAGTAATATTTTTAAATTCATGACAAATGTAAAAAAAATGTTGAGAGGCTGATTATACAAACACACTAAATAATGCCACTAAAAAAAAAAAAAATCTTAGTTTATGAACTGGTTGACCTCAATAATTGGCTACTTAGATGTTGGACGACTGGTCAACTATTTTGATCCATCCCTAGTCACTCTGGTTTGTGAGAAAATGCATAATTGTCAATTAGTTATGGGTTTTGCTTCTTTTATTTGACGGATAGATTGATAGAAGAAAGTGACAGAAAATCATATAATGGGCATTTACAGATTATACAGGAGAGTCTGTATAGCATCTGAGTAATCTTAAAGTGCCCCTATTATGGGTTATGAAAGGTTCATATTTTGGTTTTGGGAGTTGACAACGGGTTGACATGCATGCAAGGTCAAAAAACACTTTCATTGTCTTATAATATGCATTTATTTTTTTCCTTTTTTGCTCAACGACTCCCAAACCCCTCCTTTGCGTGACGCTAAACTGCGGTGTTTGGTCTGATGACCCAGTCTATTGTGATTGGTCTACTGCATGCAGCGCATGTCAATAATGGAACGCCCATCACCATTACTTAGCCCACAGCTCGGTGGTAAACACCCAAACAGCCATGGTATATGCGTTAGCCCAATGCAGAAACATATTGATAAAGCACTGCAGTTTGTACACCAACGTATTGCTCTATTCTTTATCAGAACTCCAAGTAATAACAACTACAAACATTCACTATTCATCGATACATTTCTAGACAATTGCGAGCGAACAGATATTTCTGTTAGCCGGTTAGACAGAGACCTACAAGCTGCGTGGAGCGAACACAACACACACACAACTAAATACGTATTTTGCATGCTACAGTACAGAGTACATGACAGCAACAATTTTTAAATGAATTACTCCACTTTTTTAGAATAAAAATTTCCTGATAATTTACTCACCCCCATGTCATCCAAGATGTTCATGTCTCTCTTTCTTCAGTCGCAAAGAATGTAAGGTTTTTGAGGAAAACATTCCAGTATTTTTCTCCATATAGTGGACTTCAGTGGTGCTCAACGGATTGAAGGTTAAAAATGCAGTTTCATTGCAGCTTCAAAGGGCTCTACACGATCCCAGCCGAGAAATAAGGGTCTTATCTAGCAAAACGATTGGTAATTTTCTTAAAAAAACAACTAATATTTATACACTTTTTAACCACAAATGCTCGTCTCTGTGAGGCGCATGCGTACTCTGTCTGTGTACAACGGTTCAAGACAGGGCATGTCTAAAAACTCCCAACACTTTTCTACTCCAACTTCAAAATTATCCTACATAATACCATTTTTAAACATTTTTTTTTTTGTAAAGGGTGTTTGACCCTCCTTGCACGTTGACTTTGTAAATACTGGGTCGGTGCTTCTGCAGCGATGTAGGATGATTTTGAAGTTGGAGGAGAAAATTGAGTTGGGAGTTTTTCAACATAACCTAATGGATTTACCCTCACACTGCAGAGCACAGCGTCTTCTCCACAGGAATCCGCTACGGTGTTTGAGGGAGGGGATGTTCAAGTTTTCCCGGGTCTGCGTGGTCAACAAGTGGGCGGGCATAAATATGCTAATTTTTTCATGTTGACGTCAACTTGAAATAGCTTAAGATTCGTTTTAAAAACGACTCGTTTTCATGACTCCGAGTCGACTCTTTCTTTTGAAAGACAATAACTTTATACACGGTGCACTTTTAGATTTAAAACTTTGCAGGATATTTTCATTCACTTAGAGCTGTTACACACTGCATGAAAGGTAATTTAAAAAAATTCATAATAGGGGCACTTTAAATTCAGCTGGTCCTTATCAGTGACAAACAGAGCTTGTTAAGCTTACTCAATTACTTGATGAAGATGTTGTGCTTCAAGGTTTAATTCTTGTTTGCGGCATGCCACGGTATTTTATGATGCAGATGTATTAGAGCTCATCTGTCCTCTATAGATATCGCTGCCATTGAGCATGAATTAATAGATGTCACAAACCCCTCTGGCTCTAGATACATTTTGTTTTATAAATGGATCCAGCTTCTGTATTTTCAGATATAGTGTCGTTGTTGCTAAGTGACAGAGCAGTCTTGTACATGTGGCCGTTGCTGGCTGGATGGATTTAAGTGAAGTGTTTGGTCTCTGTACAATCCAGCACTTCCCTGTGGCATTTGTTTTATAATGTGATGTGATACAGAAAACCTTTTACCGCTTTGCTTACAGTTGCCATTGATTTCAACATGAGGCGGGTGTTAAGTACCACTCACTGAATGTGATGTGCAATGTTAAGCTTTTATTTTGTTTCCCTTTCACCCCCAGTATGTGGTGATGTTCACGGACAGTTCTTCGACCTCATGAAGCTCTTTGAAGTTGGTGGTTCCCCCGACAACACGCGCTATCTCTTCCTGGGCGATTATGTAGACCGAGGATACTTCAGTATTGAGGTGAGTGGAAGTTCTTCAACTGAAGTAATCTAGAACAAGAGGCTAACACAGAATCTGCACCTGCAGAAATCTGGTTCACTGGACACTGTAACGCCTGTTATTCACAGATTTTTATACATCCTCCATCCTTTGTGTGTGTGTTTTAGGGCTGCACGATAAATCGCATGCGATATTTAATGTGCATCTTTTCATGCACATTTGTCATGCACATCATATATGATCGTGGGTTTGCGCAGCTTGTCAGTAAACAACGGCTCTGTGTAGTAAATGCTGCTCCATCTGAAAGCACGCACGTGATGGAGATTTACCGCTGATTACAGAACCGGCTTTACTGACAAGATGTGCATTAAATATCGCATGCGATTTATCATTCAGCCCTAGTGTTTTTTCCCAAATTTTTTTTGTTAATTTATGAATTTAGCCAATAAGGCTGCATTTAAATTACATGGTTCAAGTGACCCAATTCTGATTTTTTTTTTTTCCTTCCCTTGTGGTCCATGATCATGTAAAACGCATCGGTTCTGATATTCTCAGATCGGTTTCAGGCCTCATTCATGTGTGAAAATAAATCGCAGGTCAACTCAGGTGGATGCTTATTTAAGGGCCCTATGATTTAGTATTTTAGGGCCCTATGATTTCCGTGATGTGGAAAACGTGGACGGAATCGTGGAATCCAGTCATAAAAAAAACGCAATTTACGGAGTAATGCGAAATATCACAAAATTTGCAAAATCAAATCAAAAGTAGGTAAATTACACTTAAATCAAAACATGATATGGACTAATGTCTGTGAATATTAAGCTGCAAAAATACAATTTAAATCTGAATCCTGCATGTACTGTGTGTCTCTGTGTGAATGAACGTTGCAGACGCGCAGTTTCGTTTACTACACACAAACTGAAGCATGCGTGATGCTCACGGTGCTTTCAGCTTCTGCCACCTCAATATATGAGTATATGAACACATGCATAATCTCTAGAACTGCTCTGAGAGTCACTTCATGAGCATTTTACGGTTTCATTTGAGAAAAACTATCATATCATATGGGCTACAAACAGAAACTTGACCGTCTTCACAGCAACCCCTCAAAATAAAAGTTCAGGTTAACTTGAAGAAATTGTGACAGAAATATATTACTTAATGTAATGATAGTACTACTACTAATAATAAAATGATCAAAACATTTTTTAAGGAATATTTACCAAAAATATTATTTACTAGAATTTATTTAGCAGAAAAATGTAAATACACAGTATTTCTGGGGGGGAAAATAATAATTAAAAAAAAATATTTTTAATGAAATCAATTGATTGGAGATGCCTTTGATTATTAAAATGTAATGAAACCATTAAAATGAAATCTAAAAAGTAATGGAAAACACGGAATTTGGTAAAAATAAAACTGAATTTGAGAAAAAATAAAAAAACATTTCATAGGGCCTTAAACTTTTGATAAATTGCTGTTAATTTGTGCAAGTTTCATTAGACATGCTTTTTTATTAATAAAATTTAATTTAACTATTAAAACAGAGTATAGAAAAAATTTAACTGAAACAAAAACTGAATCCAGAAAAATTAAAACAGAATTTGGAAGAAAAAAAAAAGGCTGACTTCATAGGGCCCTAGTACTCAGGGATCTGTACATGTACCAGTGGGAAACTATTATTGCGTGCATGTCTGGGCTCATTCTTACTTAGCTGAGAATCTGACGTCTTCTCTGAACTATCTGTTAAGGCATTATCAATGGCTACACTGCCACATTGGCAACAGTGCATCAACTACCACACATAAGCACAAAAGAGAGGCAAAGCAGATTGTGCTATAATATCTCCAGTAAAGACAATCGTGTTTAGTCTTATAGTTTAATATGTCATCTTTTACATAGTTACCACAGCTGCTCTGATAGGACAATTATATTATGGCTTGCTTTGCCTTAATGTTGACTTCAAACACAAATGAGAATGCCTAAATAACCCTGATGAATTCAACTAAAAAAAGAGCTGAGATGTAGGGCTGTTCAATTCCAAAATTTTTCGAATCAACTCTGGAATCGATTCCTCAGTGTTGTTGCTGTTGTTGTTTTAAAGGCTAAGTCATGGAGTTTGTAAGACAAGTGTATTCTTTTTATATACTTTAGACACCAAGAAAAAATCCATGTGTTTGTATTGTATGTTTTACATTTACATTTAGTCATTTAGCAGACGCTGTTATCCAAAGCGACTTACAAATGAGGACAATGGAAGCAATCAAAATCAACAAAAGAGCAGTTAAGAATAGAATTCGAATGGAGAGTGCTAGAGTTAGAGGGTCAAATAAAGATGGAAGAGATGTGTTTTTAGCCGATTCTTGAAGATGGTTAAGGACTCAGCTGCTCGGATTGAGTTGGGCAGGTCATTCCACCAGGAGGGAACATTTAATTTAAAAGTCTGTGAAAGTGATTTTGTGCCTCTTTGAGATGGCACAATAAAGCGACGTTCACTTGCAGAACGCAAGCTTCTAATGGACACATAAGTCTGAAGTAATGGATTTAGGTAAAGCGGTGCAGAGCCAGTGGTGGTTTTGTAGGCAAACATCAATGCCTTGAATTTTATGCGAGCAGCTATTGGTAGCCAGTGCAAATTGATGAACACGTGTGACATGCATTCTATTTGGCTCATTAAAAATTTATCTTGCTGCCGCGTTCTGGATTAATTGTAAAGGTTTGATAGAACTGGCTGGAAGACCTGCCAAGAGAGCATTGCAATAGTCCAGCCTGGACAGAACAAGAGCTTGAACAAGGAGTCGTGAAGCATGTTCTGAAAGAAAGGGCCTGATCTTCCTAATGTTGTATAAAGCAAATCTGCAGGAACGGACCGTTTTAGCAATGTGGTCTGAGAAAGTCAGCTGATTATCAATCATAACTCCAAGGTTTCTGACTGTTTTTGAAGGAGTTATGGTTGATGTGCCTAACTGGATGGTGAAATCGTGATGAAACGATGGGTTTGCTGGAACCACAAGCAGTTCTGTCTTGGCAAGGTTGAGTTGAAGGTGATGGTCCTTCATCCAACAAGAAATGTCTGTTAGACGTTGTTTTGTTTTATGTACAAAACTTTAATATTAAGAACTATGTCCAAGACATAGGCTAATCAATATTTGTCAGTTGTATGCTATTCGACATGCAGGATCACAGAATGAAATGTGACAACAAACGTCTTTAAATTAAGTGAATATAAGGTAATAATTACCTACAGTGGGTACGGAAAGTATTCAGACCCCCTTAAATTTTTCACTCTTTTTTATATTGCAGCCATTTGCTAAAATCATTTAAGTTAATTTTTTTTCCTCATTAATGTACACACAGCACCCCATATTGACAGAAAAACACAGAATTGTTGACATTTTTGCAGATTTATTAAAAAAAAAAAACTGAAATATCACATGCTCAGTATTTAGAGTAGAAGCACCCTTTTGATCTAATACAGCCACGATGCTGTGTGTACATTAATGAGGAAAAAAAATTAACTTAAATGATTTTAGCAAATGGCTGCAATATAACAAAGAGTGAAAAATTTAAGGGGGTCTGAATACTTTCCGTACCCACTGTATATGTAGTTTACTCAAGCCTCTACTTTTCGTATGATTTATTGGTTTTGGTAAGCATAGGCTGCGTGAGTTCACTAAATGTCACTCTTAAAAGAGACCGCGTTAAAGTGCAGGAGCTGTGGATGCTTTAGAATGAAGAACAGAAGTATCAGAGACCTTGTTAAGCTGTACGGTTAAATGACCTCTCTTTCTCAGTCTGTCTCATTTGGATGTGTCACTGGAGGAGTTGTCTGAGTGGAGCTATTTGATAACCTGTCAGACACTGTACCCTTTCATAAGAGAGAAGTCAAAGAGCATTAAAGCATGGACCGCTCTGCTTGTCGCGGGTCTCCGCTGAATGACTGATGTCAGACTAGTACTGGTGGAACCGCTGTAGAGTAACTCAGTACCTGCGTGATTCGTCATAGACATAAACAGAGAGAAGTAGCTCCAGCTACAATGTTCTTCTGCAAGACGCACACAGTTTATTAACCGCTAGAGCACCAAACGTTATGGACATTTCTATTCAGGCAGTCTGAAATCTGAAAAAATGTCTTGGTTCGTTCACTACATTCAACCAAATATTTCTTAAATAGTGTGTTGGCTGTAACAACTTCTCATATGAAGTTTACTGTGCTGAAAGTCTAGCAGCACTCAATGGATGACTAGTTGTTATTTTATTAAAACCAGGCGGTAACCTGAAGCGCCATGTAAACTTTAAGAAAAAAAAAACAGCTTCCTCTCTGTGTCTTTCTCTGTGTCATCTGCCATTCAGCAGTAATTGCCTACGTTCAGGTCCTCTTCTCATGGCCACTAATACCTGCAATTTTCAGCTCATTATTCCTCTTGCGTAGGCTCCGGTCACAGCTCTCGGTGCTGCTGCATCCCACCCCCCGCTCGCAACCTCCTCTGTGTCTATTATTTCACATGTCATTTAAATGCACACCTGTCGTCCTTGGTTACCTTGGTGTCCTGTTCTCCCCACATTGAGTAGTGTCTGGGATTTTGCATGCAAATTAGATGGGGGGGATTAAGATGAGGCTGAAAAGAGTGTGCATGTACTCTGTACTGTACAGAAGAACAGGCATCTCACTCAAACGGTCAGTGTATTGCCAAGGCTTTGTGTTGTTTGCTGCCAAACATGCTCTGTACTTAAGTGTGAATTTTAGATGTGTAAATGAACCAAACAAACCTGTTGTTTAGAATAATGTGTCATTGGAAATAATTACCATGTGACCACTCACTCCCACTTTTGCAGTCCCTCATGCACCAGTTAGCAGCCTGTTGAGCAACAGTGAACAGTGAAAGGACACTGATTGTGCCATAATCTTGCCATTGGGCATTGAAAACCTAGTCAAATTGCCTTTAAATGCAATAGAACAATTTACTTTGTGAATTTCTTTGGTAAATCTTCCCTTACTGTAAAATGTTTCAGTGTCCTGCTTTAAATTATACTAGGAAACATTTTTCTTTATCTCAGAAATTACACTTTTTTTTTTTTTTTCTTCTGCTTTTTTTTACACACATTTTTAAAAAGGTTTCTCTAGGGGAAATTTTTTGAATTTTTTTTATCAAATATGAAATAGGAAGATTGTATATAATTCTTATTTTTATTTATTCATCTATTTTATTTTGTTTGTTTGTAAAGTTAATATTGTGAAATTATTGTAAACAGTTCATTGAATTATTATTGTTATTAAGACTATTTCAAAGGATTAGTTCACCCAAAAATGAAAATTTGCTGAATATTTACTCACCGTCAGGCCATCCAGGATGTAGATGAGTTTGTTTCATCATAGGAACAGATTTGGAGAAATGTAGCATTACATCACTTGCTCGCCAATGGATCCTCTGCAGTGAATGGGTGCCGTCAGAGTTCAAACAGCTGATAAAGACATCACAATAATCCACATGACTCCAGTCCACCAGTTAACGTTTTGTGAAGTGAAAAGCTGCATATTTGTAAGAAACCGCTCCATCAAATTTTTCCAAATCTGTTCCGATGAAGAAACAAACACATCTACATCTTGGATGGCCTGAGGGTAGGTACGTGTTAATTTTGGGGTGAACCATTCTTTTAAATCTTGTTACTTTTTAGCTTTCCATGTAGCCTTTGAAACTGATAAGGTATAAATTATTAAAAATTTTCGTTTGCACAGTTAAGTCAACTATCTTCAGGATTTTAAGTCTCTTTCTCTCTCTCTCTTTTTAGTGTGTGCTGTTCCTGTGGACATTGAAGATCAACCATCCCAACACCCTCTTCCTCCTCAGAGGCAACCATGAGTGTCGGCACCTCACAGAATACTTCACCTTCAAACAGGAATGTGAGTGTTGTGGGAATGAAGCATCTAGGAGTGCTGAGAGCGTGTCCAAGTGATGTGTTGGCTCAAACTGCCAGCCAGCCTTTTCCTCAGCTTTCACTGATGTTCTCTCTTTGATGTCTGAAAAGCTGAATTTTCAGCCAGCTGTCACCAGCTAGCATTTTCATTTACAGTGCAAACAGTGTAACATTTCTCCTGCAGTTAAGGGTTCAAAATCGATTTGCCTTATTAGAGTGGACTCTATTTTGTAGTGTTTCTTAAAGTGTATTTACTTGATATAACTGGTGCAGATTTTTATACTGAGCCAACTGCTAGTGGTGACTATAACTTTCTTTTACTGCTTTGCCTATGGCTAAATGTCACATCAGTGCAGTTTTGTTGGAGTTGGAGGGTCAGTGTGGTCTCACTTATCTTGTTGCCTGAGAGAACCACTTTAGTGAAATAGTAATACTTGTTTAAATGAATTGAATAACTTGTTTTTCTTAATGTGGGTTAAAACTACATAAGGCAGCTGCTCACGCTGTGAAATGTATTATTACATCAAGTTTGGCTGGAACATATTTACTGTTTCAATCTCCCAGCATACCAGAATCACACAATATGGTCACTGCCTATTGGTGCCATTGCTGACAATTTTGGATCAAATTTAGCAATCTTCCTAGTAGTTAAGTATTTCTGATTTAAAAAAATGCAAATTAAGATGCAGTTTTAAAAATAGTTCTAGGTTTGCTGTGCTTATTTTTAGTGCTGCATAATTTGGCCTCCGTTTTTGTGATTTATACATCAATGACTATGATAATAATTATCATTTATATTATGAATATTAGTATTACCAAAAGAAAGATCTGAAGCAAAATAAATATTATTGTAAGTATTAGAGGTGTAACGATACTAGGGCTGTAGCTATCGGTTATTTTAGTAATCGAGTATTCTACAGATTATTCCATCGATTACTCGAGTAATCGGATAAGAATTTTTGTTTATTAAAGAGCAATACTAAATATACAAGAGATAATAAGATAGATCTCTTAAAATAAACAACTAATTTGTTTTCTTTTTAGAAAAATTTACATTTTTATTGCTGAAATTGCATACATTAATAACCAATGGAAACTAAACCCATTTAATGCATTGAATTGCCAAATTACATTCAAAATGCAAATACAAATATATAAATAAAAACTAAAAGTGTGCATCATCTTTTGAGTCAAATTCTTACATTTAATCAGTCAATTAGAATAAAAGACATTTGGGGCTGTAACCAAACAAATGATATCAGTATCAAAATTCATCTTTGCAATGCAGAGGAAACACAGAAGCTGCATGGGATGAATTTCCCACACAGAGGGACATGAATGCATTTAACCTGCAGTTACAAATGCATAAATAATATTTTGTTATTTTAAACATAAAACATTGAATACTGATATTTAAAATTATTTTAAAAACGAAAAGATACTTTAAATGTCAAATTAAAACCGCCAGCAGGTGGCAGCAAGTCACTGTTAAGAAGTGAGTCATTGCGATTTAACCGAATCATTTAAACGGTTGATTCATTCAGAAACGAAACGCCGTCACGTTGCTAAGAGACGCAAAACAGCGCTGTGACTGTTTGCATTTATTTTTTTGGCAAAATCAGGCAATATAGTGTCTAAAACATAAGTCTCTTAATATTACCTTCTTGTTTATTGAACTGTTGAATAAAATCACATTTGTAATCATGCTGATTATAGAGTTGAAAATTGGCACTCTTTCTTTCTGTGGTGTTTTTATGCACAATGGCGCTTAGTCTTTCACAAAACAAAGCAAACGTAGGGACATCATAACTAGCCACCATATTGATTTATTTAAATATGTCCAGCGCTTTTTTTACAGTCTGTGGTCCAGCGTTTATCGGGTTGTGCGTCAGTAATAATGGTCCGAGAGGAAACGTGGTGTTCCGTGTGTAGTTACAGTAAATGGACTAAAATTTGCCTCTGATTTTTTGTATTCGAGTTACTAGAGGTATTCGAGGAATCGTTTCAGCCCTAAACGATACACATATTCGTATTGAACTGTTTGGTATGAGGCTTTCGGTTCGGTACACATTACAAACATCATTGGACTAATCCTGTTACATTTGGAAAATAAAAGGGCTAAAGTGTGTGAAATATAATGTACTCAGTGCCACTGTTAGGCTTGCCGCGATAGACGGTGCTGACGGTGATACTGGTGTTAAAATTTACTTTATTTAAACTTTGAGTAGTTAATTTATTTTATTTGACTTGACATCAAGGTGTATGCCGTGCCTCCAAGCTTTCTTATTCGTTTTGCTAATAAACGTTCTAGAGGTCGACTGATTGATCGGCCGATTTTTGGCATTTTTTTAATTAATCCGCATCGGTCGCTTGTGCTGCAAATTAGGCCGATTTATAGGCAGGCGCACTGGCGGGCGCCTAAGCGTTGTTGCGGAACTCCCTCTGGCTGCGTGAGACGGAGCAGCTCAC